ATCATGGCTAAGTGGGGATTTGAATTTGGGTCTTTGCAGTCCTAGTCCTACACTTTAACAGTTTAACTCCACATACAAAATAGGTATACTGTAAGTTTTGTTGTTTATGTTTATTGTGTATATTTATATTATATTTACTTCTAGAAGAACAATATGTAAGGATGTGGCATGGTTGTCACAAAATCAGTCCTAATATTTTTGTTGCTAGGTTCACATTCTGGAAGCCAGTGACCGTGTGGGTGGCCGAATAAAGACCTATCGTGAGAAGGATTGGTATGTCGATGTGGGACCTATGCGCCTGCCCAAGGCCCACAGGTAGGCAAGAAAAGGCATGACACCAGCCACACCACAGAGCTATTCTTCTATTATGTTCTCAACAAATGATGTTTCAAAATGGGAGGAGGAGGAAGTTTCAGAAACATCAGTAATCCATAATATTAACAGGGGTAACAGGTGGTTTTCATATGCATGGGATGGGGAATCCACTCCAGGTTGACCTGAACTTCATAGGAGCTACAATTCAGAGACATAGGGCCTTTACAGATTGCCAGAAATAGTGCAGCTTGAGGCCACTTTAACTGCCCTGGCTCAGTGCTAAGGAATCATGGGAACTGTAGTTTATTGTGGCACCAGAGCTCTCTGGCAGAGAAGGCTCAATGTCTCAGAAAAAAATACAATTCCCATGATTCCCTAGCATTGAGCCAGAACAGTTAAAGTGGCCTCAAGCTGTACTATTTCTGGCTAGTCTGTAAAGGCTCATAGTTGTGTTAGTCTGGAATATCAGCATTCAAAGGGATTTTGTAGCACCTTTCAGACTAACTGTGCAAAAGAAGTTGTAGCATGAACTTCTGCAGACTCGTTCTACTTTCTCAGCAGCAAGTAGTGAACTGGTGCCCAGGAAGGAGCTTTATAATTAGACTGTATGAATAGCCAAAGAAATGTAAAACTTTTGGGTATTGTGGTAAGTTTAGAAGTTCAGTTTTAATGATGGTTGTTGGGGGACACACATCTGAGGAAGTAGATAAGTCCATGAGAGCTCATGCCACAACTTCTTCGGCACAGTTAGTCTCAACAGCGCTGCAAGATCCCTTTGCACATTCATAGGAACTATCCAAGGTGCTGAACTCTACCCTCAAAGCAATTCAGAATCATGGTTTGTTGTTATTGTTAATTGCCATCAAGTCAACTTCAGTTTATGACAACTCTATGAATGAGAGCTCTTTGAGTCCTGCTTGGGTCTTTTAGACTCAAGCCTGTGGCTTCTTTCTTTCCTTCCTTGATATCCATCTATAAAGTGACCTTCCTTTTTTCCTATCGCCTTATGCTTTACCAAGCATTGTTGCCTTTTTCAATTAGTCATCTTTTCTCATGATATGTCCAAAGTATGACAGTCTCACTTTAGTCATCTTGGTTTCTAAGGAGACTTCAAGCTTAATTTGCTCAAGGACCCATTGATTTGTCTGTTTAGCAGTTCACAGTGTCTGTACAACTCTTATTACAACTCTTCTCAGTTGAGTAGATTTTCTTCCTCTCTGCTTTCTTCACCATCCATCTTTCACAACCATACATAGAAATGGGAAATATCATGACATGAACAATCCTGACTTTGGTACTCAATGATACAGAACCCTAGATAAAGTTTGGTCTAAAACCAGTGTATATTCTCTGCCCGATTGATAGGGGAGCCTCCAGTTGCCACTGGTCTTTATGCCATCATCTTAGACCATCCTTTTTAGAGCAGTTAGTAATGGCTGGGTTTTAGAAGGTAGCCTTAAAGAGTCTGTTAATTCAGCAGATATTTGATCCAGTAGTTAGTGAGTTGTCCTGTTGCCATTCTAAAGCATGTTCTGCTTTGTTTTTAATGACACTTGCTATTAATTAACCGTATTGTTTTATGGCTGTAAGCACTATTGTATTCTTTTTTTTATTAATTTTTTTTAACAGTACAAAGGTGTACAATATATATAGGCCCCAC